AAAGCAAGTAAGTTTAGAATATTTTACAGGAACACAAGGTGTGAGGGAACCAACTGGGTTGTCAGCATTTGAATGTTTCTCAAAACTTTTCTCTTTAGAAATATATGACCTGGTAGCATACCAAATTAATGCCTGTGGTACATTGTCTTGACAGCATTGTGCAATACTCACATAAATCAAGATATTGGAAATGGAAAGAAGTAACAGCATATTAAATAAGGGCTCTTGTTGCTGCAGAAATGGGAATGGGTTTGTCACAAACCCACTTTAGATTCATACTTTTTAGGACATGTACTGGCTTAATGTGAACTAGATGTTCTTGCAGGCACACTTAGAAAAGACGCGATACAGTGTAGACTGGTGGGGTGGAAGGTCTGTGTGATGTTGCAAGCTAAGACCTTTGCCAAATGTCTGATGTTTACATACAAGCCGTCTCCACTCTTGCAAATAATTACATTCCTGGGGAGTTAATAAAGCGATATTTCATAAAGCAGGTTCCTATTTCCCATGATTGCGATGTTATAATGGGGATTACATTTCTGAATGACCATACTTACCATATAAAATTGAATATTCTGTAGTTCTTTGAGTTTAAGATAAAATTACTGAAATTGGGGCGCATCTTATTTTTAATGACGTCTTAAGAATTATTATGGCATCTTTTATTCCTGAAAACATATTTCTAAATTAAGGGTGCATCTTGAAATCAAGGAGATGCAGTGTGTGTGTGTGTGTGTATAACAGAAATATGTTATGTTAAAACGTTGCATACCATTCATTGTTGAATATTTATCTAAAATATATAAAATCATGCATACAAAAAAAAAACTGTCTACACTTTAAAAAACTTTGTGCCAAACGTGTTTCGACCTCATTACCTAAGTTTCCTATCACCCAAAAATTCTTTCAGTGTAGCATACAAAATATAGTACGTTGTAAAATGCGTAATGAAGAAAGGGCAGAATTTATATGAGTTATTGTTGAAGTCATAAAGATGACATTTTGATTCTCTTCTTCTTAAAAATGAACTCTCTGTTATTGACATATCAAAGACTTTTTAAAAAGTAATGTTTCAGACCTACTCAAATAATTGATTGCTTCAAATCTGAATACATCATTATCAAAAGTCATAAAATTGTCAGCCTTCCTATTAACTATTGTGCATCTGTTGAGTGATCATTCTGTGCTTTGAAGAGGATCCATACTTACCTACTCAGCATGAATACTGAAGAGAGACTCATTAAGTTACCTTTAATGACAATTAAGAAGAAAATATGTCGAGACTTAAAAAACATGAAGAAAATTGCAGGCTCTATGTTCCTTGAATTGTCCACAGTTGACAACGATGTTTATCATTTTACTTTTGATATTGTATGCAGAAGAGGACATAGAATCCAGAACACTATATTCTAAATTTGTATGCTAAAAATTTAAAGTGAAATGATTATTTCTTTGAAATGTTATGTTACTTTAATTTTATTGGCATCAATGCACGTGATCAGGTTTACAAAAATAATTAAACCACAATAAAATTATTAAGTAATTTAATACATTACAAAAATTATGAGATACATGGAACACTTTGTGACTTACATATCCAACCCCCTCCCATCCCAATAGAAATCCTCTTCCAGACAAAATAAAATCAACTTTCTTTGTACTGAACAGGTTCAACACCATAGCCAACAGTGGGCTCTTTACCCCGATCATCCACGCTCACCTAACACAGCACGTAATAACGTCATATCAAAAGTTTAACGCACAGCAAAGAAATGATGACTGGACTCATGATTATGCAGCTGTCATTATCAGCTAACACTCCAGGTAAGCCGCAATCATTTCTGAGCAGTCCTCATACTATGGATACAAGAAAGACTTCCGTTGAAGACACCGCATTCCGGAAATTGCACCGTGTAGTCTTGTAGATGCTGACTGACATTTCCATGTGCAGAGAACAGGAGCAGGTCAGACTGATGGTTGAGGAGGGAGGTTCGAGATGAAGACAGCAGGAAAAGGAGCGAGTGCGACAAAGGGGGTGACCACAACCTCGCTCTTGTCTGCCCTAACCTTGATTCACCCTTCCCTCATCCAGCGGTCTGGCCATGTTCTGACCTGGTTTAGCCTGCTCCTATTCCAGCAGTCTGTTTCCCACGCACAGCATTACACACTCCTGAACCAATCAACACCAGTGAGACTCCACAGCGTAATATCCCAGAAGGCCACCATCTTCATACCCACCTCTGATCGGGAGCGTTTATTTTTTCAGACATTTGTCGTTCAGTGTCGATTGAGCACAAATAATTATGGTCTGTGGTGTGAAATTAGTTCAGGAGAAAGCAAATTAAATAATTACAACTGAAGCATGAGACTGTCATGGGGAACTATTAATTATGTAGTTGTTGGTCTCTATGTTTCCCTCCTCTTTTCCACTTTGCGATTTCACTGATTGTGTTTCTACAGTTCGCAACCCTTCATCACGAACATCTCCATTAATTGGCATTACTCGATCTCCATTATCCGCTTGTCCTGGGCACTCCACTTGCTCTGATCTGTAAACAGATCACATACGGACTCAATCATAATTAAGTCATATAACATTTCTATAGTTTTTATCTAATTAAGTCTACATGCTTTTTAGAAAACATAAGTTTGAAGGGTAACTGCTAATTACATGCCAAAAGTCTTATCTTACGAGTCATTTATGTTAATCCACATAACAAGATTTAAGTATCTCACTGAAGAGTAGTCCCATTTCTGGTAATTTTCTCAATTCCATTGTCTTATAACAGATGAAAATAATTACAATCTATTTTTACGTGCATGCCATATCGAATGCAGAAGGCAACAGTTGTGTCCAATGAGAAGTGGGCCTTAGGAAAAATTAAAGAAAATGAAACATCTGGAATTAAATAAGAAATCTCACCTGCTGTGGGCGTGCAGATGGCAGCCAGGAGCAGGAGTAGTACAGTCACACAGTCTCTCTTGTCTCTTCAGCGTAAATTTCTCATTCTGCTCAGAAAAAGATAGAGGAAATCATTTCCTTGAAATAATGTGCTCAATTAACACCTAGATCCTTCCTAATGCTTATATCAGTCAAAAGTGACTTCGAAGAAGAAAGTGGAAGCTCGACAGACAGACAACATACGGCACAATAAAGCCGTTCTCATTCCAGAAGTGCACGTATCTCACAAGACTTCCTATCCTACGAGACACTTCTAACCAGTCTGTATTAGATTTGGTTCATTAACAAATAATAAAACATTAGTCAGATTGGAGGTTCACACAGCAGCGAGTGTGAAAATGGCTGTCTTCCAGGTTGTAGCACGATGTAGTCTGATGGAAGTTTACCTGTTGTAATGCCGTTCAGTCGACTTACAAGTTTCCTTCTACCTGATCACACCATGCTACAAGCCGGAAGACAGCCATCATCTCACGTCATTACCAACAACAACAGCTGAAAGTTAGGACCGTGGCTGGTTCTGACTCAGAAGGAACCTTTTCTTCTTCTAGGACACCCTAGAACTCCGTGCCCAGTCAACTTGCACGTTTATAAATTCACAGATGATTAACATTTTCATCCCTACGTACCACACACCAAAATGTAAGACGGAGTATTTGTTCTGACCTTAGTAAATCTGTCACTCTCCGGGATATCCTGAACGGCGTCGACATGCGCCTTGTCATTAACACGTGGCAGGTATGGCATATCGATGGCTTTTTGTTCCACACTTGCCCAGTTGATGCCCTGCAGGATGAAGCACAAATGTCAGTGGTATGAGCCAGATTTTTTTAAAAAATAGTGGGTATGACATTTGGAAATGCCATGCGTTATCATCTGCTTAGCCACAGCAGATGTGATGACTTCCACATACATGAAAGATAAGTCACGTACTTAAGTCCTTCTTCTCAGTCATGCATATTACTAAGGTCTTCTGTTGTTTTGAATCCAAGTCCTTCGTTGTCAAAATCATTCAATTAGGGAATGAAGAAATACATCATGAATAATGGAAAGGAGACACATTTAGGG